TTTTTTTTTTTTTTTGTGGGAGACAAAGAATAAAACACTGCAAACCAGACTGTGCAGACACGGCTCCTCTGCTTTTTTGCCTGGCTTTCTGAACTCGATAGATCCCTCTGGGTTTGCTTTCCTAAAGCTGGCAGCAAAGGGACAGCAATTAATATCACCGTGCTTGTTTTTAAAACTGATGCATTTCAGTCCCAATATAATAGATCTCACCAACTGGTCTGTCACCCCTGAGGAACTGCAGTAGGTCTGCGATGCCTGGGAGTTGCAGCGCTTGTGCAATTGAGGAAAACATTGCCACTGTATTAGAAGCATGTTCGGAGCTCGCCACCGCAAACGTGGCAGCGCAAACTTGAATGAGGTACAGGAGCCAGAGCTCGGCATCAAGGCTGTGCCAGTATGCCTGGTTCCCAGATCCCAGCTGAATCTGCAAGGCCGGTTAAATTTTGCTATGAGGAGAATGCAAAAGTCATTTCTAGTGGATTAATTCCATACAGGCTGTTTCTTCAACAGGCTGTGATGTGTCCAGTTTAAAACAAATGGAAAAAAACCAAAACCAATGACCCAGGAGCAGTGAATACTGGGCATGTGCTTATGTGCAGGTTTATTGTTGCACCACTCCTCATCTCAGGTGATTTGGATGGTGGCCTCTAATATTTTCAGGTGCGTCCCATGGCAGGTTGTGCGTGCGGACAGGAAATTCCCTGGAAGTGAATCGGGATCTTTCCAGCCATAAGCTGTGTAGCAGCCACATCTGGGCAAGACTGTGGGTGCATGAACTGCATGCTCTTGCGCACTGGCACGCTTGGGAGTGGGAATCAGATGCAGGCACTTAGCATGTAGCACTTCGTAAAACTTCTTGCCCTGTTTGTTCGTACTCTTTCAGCCTGGACAAAAGGTGAAGTGCAGGCAACATAATTTGCTCGTGGCCCTCCAAGTGCTGTGCAACCTTAGGCGGAGTTGTGTCCTCTGCACACGGGTTGTAAAACACCCTGCCAGCCCTGCCTGTACTGGAAAGCCCTGGCGCAGGCAAGGCTCTTGACAGCGTTTTAAGCATTTTGTTAAGTAGCCCACTCTGCTCCCTATAGCGCTTCAAAATGCATTGGCAACCAGTAGCGCACCAGTGACTCGTGGCCTGGACCTGGCTCCCATTAGCACTGGGGAAGAAATTTCAGTGGCATTGCTGATCTGTCCCTGCTTTTGTCAGGAGCTGTGCTGGTTTCCTTCCAACAAGACGCAGTGTCTGGTGGGGCAAATGGATGGAGGCATAGGGGAAGATGATTTAGTAACCAAACAGACAATGGGTCTTGTGTATGGTGAAATCTCAGCTTGTTACACATGTGGGCTGGGTTAGTCTCATCATCTCAATTAGCACCCAACCTTCCTAATTGTGATGAATGTTGCATTAACCACCTGCTCAAATACAAGTACCTAGAAGTCTTGTTTAGGGAAGGGAGGGTGCATGGAAGGGGACAGAGCTAGGGACTTGCTGTCGCAAGTGGCACAGCATCTTGCAAACGAACAACTGCATTTACTTGGCTCCTTCCCCTTCTTTCAAATCTTCTTTTGACAATTTATTCACAAAGAGAATTTAACTGTTACTTCATAGCTTGTGAACTGCTTGGCATTTACTAAAGGGATATTAGGGCTGTCTCAGGTCAACAGTGTAGTCTAAGCAACATGATTGCTTATCTCCTCCTTCTAAATCTGTGATTTTGCTGATTTTTTTTTTTATTGTTTGCTTTTCCCCTTTATTTTTATCTGGACCTTTTTATTGACACCTTTTCTTCATCACTGCTATCCCCAATTCCCCCATGTTTTGCTTAGAGATACAGAACCTCATATAATGAACTTAAGCTCAACACCAAAAATGTTGCTTCTCTTGCAGCCACTTTTGAAGGGCTCCACCAGACTTCATCTGAAAACCACAGTCATACATCTGTCTCTTCTATATGAATACATATATCCATATATCTTCTTAGTCTTGGCCCACACCTTATCTTTTACTGAAGTAATAAAAGACTCCATTTTAAAATGGAGGTAGTGCTTGGGCTGTTGGTTTGTGTGTAGGCTCATTCTTAGAGGTTTTTTCTTCACTTCAAGTTGCACAAAGAGCAGAAGGAGGTGGATATTCTTGCATTATACTGTGTGCTAGACAGTGAAGGAGAAAATAAACAATATTTAGAGACAGGTTCATCCATTCTGAAAACAAACCTAACAAGAAAAAAAAAAAAAACCCATCATGCTTATGATAGGGTGTTTAGCCTGTTCTGTAGGTGGAGCAACTGACAGGTAAATGTCAAAACTCTCAGGTTTGGTTCCCAGATAGAGCCTGATAGTTGAGGCATTAGTCAGCTTCCCTGCACCTCCTGAAATGTGTGCCTGGTGCCTGTGTTTGCACACATCGAATAGGCTTCTGCATCCCAAAGAGCTCTGCAGAGAGGCACATGTTTGCGGCTGCTCTGTTTGGTAGCTGGCATAACCAGGGCAGGCAGCTGTGCCCCTCCAAAGCTGGTCTGGCAGGACGTGTCCCAGAGTCACCCTTCATGAGCCATGGGTGCCATGTAGGCGTGCTGCACGCAAAAGGACTTCCAACTACTCATTGCATCTTTTCTTAACCCAGCAAAAATATTCTCTGCAAGCTGAATGTCTTGGCCAGTGGTTCTCCTACTGGTGCAGCGGTCCCCTGCATGCTCACCGGAGCAGGGTGTGAGCTCTGCTGCAGCAGGCAGGTCGGAATTGGCTAGTTACAGTGATTGTGTTCATCTTGTGTGTAATTGCCAGAAATGTCAGGGAGGTCATGCCATAGGGCTGAATCTAGGCCAGCCTGTATTTCTTCTTTCTTCCAAAGCTGCCTGCAAACAGTGTCTTTGTGCCATTGAGAGGCCTGTTGGGGGTGTTTGGGGAGAATGGTTCCTCCTGAGCTTACGTTTTCTGTGTGTTTTTGTAGATGTTGGCGGATTTGGCATAGTGTTTGTCACTTTTCATGGAGAAAAGGTTTGAGCTATCTCTGTGTGTGTAGGAGTAGAAAATAAAAACAGTATTCCCTTATTATGGTCAAATGGCAAAGGCAGTAAATCACAGCAAACCCAGCCCACCTTGACCCATTAATGTGGCACAGAATATGTGTAAAACACTTTTGGTGTTGCTGCATTGGTCAAGAACACTTACATGGCACAGTAGGAACACATAGGTTACCAGACTGTGGCTCGCTGGGTGCAACAAGGTTAAAAAAAAAAAAAAAAAAAAAAAAATTCACAGGCTCTTCAGAAACAGATACCAGGTAATGGTTGACGTAGCTGATGTCTTGGTAACAATACAGGGATGCTTTCCAGTGAAAATGGATTAACATCAGTGCTGAATCTTGTATGCGTTTGAATTTTCTCCTACCTGCAGAGGGGCGGTTCGCTTAATTCCTTGCAGGATCAGGAGCTGCACCAGGCTGAAGTAAAGTTCTTGTGGACTTGTTCATTGGTTATTTCTTTGCATGTACTTTGCTTTCGTTTTTCCCCTCTCTGTGGCCAGAGAGCTGCTTTCATCATCAGTAACACCTAGGTAAGCCGCAGCATCCAACTGCATGTGCGTGTGCGGGGAGAGGCGGAACAGCTTGCTGCTGGGCAGGTCATGCATTTGTGCAGGAAGAATTTCTCACCCTGGGATGTCTCTGCTCACTCAGCGGGCTGTGCACTTAAACCTCACAAAGCCATCTTGGTCAGCACATCATGCCCAGATGCAGGCAGGGGTTGCAGCATGTTGTAGGAGAGCTGCTTTGACGTAATCTGCTAGCCGTAAAAGCTGCCACCGCCTTTGTATCTTTTGATCCTTATTGTAGTGGCAGTGTTTTCAGTTGGACAAAAGGTCTGGGAAGTTGCTGGTTTTGAAGTGGTGACAGTAACTTCATTTTAGGAATGTTTTTAGTCTGAGCTTTATAAATAAATAAAATAAATATTTCCAGCTGAATCAGTTAAAAAAATAATCCTTGAAGAAGCTGCCTTCTAAAGGCAAAAAACGTGAGGCATTGATTGCGGGGTAGAATCTGAAATCCTAGCGGATTGGAAGAGAATAGCAGATTGGAAGAGAATAGCATACTGATGTGGTCAGTTCAGGCACTGTGAATTTTTTTTTTTTTTTTTTTTCCCCCCTTTTCTTAGACTCAGAAGATTTAAGAGGATTCCTCTTTTTTTTTTTTTTTTTTTTTTTTTGCCATTAAGATGTCAATGGCAACAGCAGTGGTTAGCTGCTGATTTTTCTTTCTGCTTCTCTGTGGGCTTGACAGCTGGCTTTTCGGGTGCTTTTTACTCTTACCTGTTGCCATTTAGATCTAACACTTTCTGCCCCCTCATAATTTTTATTCACAGATAAAAATCTTGTGGGCTGTTTTTATTACTAACCTGCTCATTTTTTTATGTCCAATTCTGTCTCTGAATCTATTGAATGCTAATAAATGCAAATTTATTATAATTCCCCCCAAAACCCACGGTTTACTCATGGAAATTAAGTTGATACCTTGAAGTATCTAAGGGATGTAAAAGCGAAACAATTTAACAACGAAGCTGTTTCATAATCCATATAAATACATGTTTCAGAGAGCTCTTTTGCAACTTATGCAGGTGTTGGCTTTAAAATATTCTAAATCCTGGTATCTATCCTTTTCCCTAATATTTCTTTTTTCTTTTTAATAGGTCATCACACAACGAACTAGAAAAACATAGGTAAGTCTTGAGAAAAAGCAAATTAAGACATATGGCTGACATTAGAATTACCATGCTTATTGAAGAATATTTTGTTGAAATTGTTTTGATTCTGCACTAAATAGTTTATTAAGTTGGGGTGGGGGGTGTTACCAACTAACATCTAATAGATATAAAATTATTTGGCTTTTTTTCTCTTGTTTGGTCTGCTGTTTTTGAAACGCCCCTGATCATTAGCTTTGGACTGATCAATGCTGTAACTGGTTAACTATACTGTTACTAATAAAGAATCTGATTGCAGCAACTGTTTGCTAGAGGTGTTAAATGCTATAAGTACAATCAACATATTTTGTGATTAAGGTGGATGATTTTTGGGGAACAATATGTCACACAGGGTTATTCTATGTTTTTTTTGAAGTATGCCTAAAGTGCAGTTAATTTTCATCTTGCATGTAAGTACCTACAGATACGTCTTTCCCCTCCGTCTGCTTCCTTGCTGGTATGTGTCCTGTCCAGAGAGCTGTGTGTGGGCTAGAAATCAGCAACTCCTGAGCTGCAGCCCTGGTTCTGTGTATCCAGCGCTGTGAAAAGCTGTACTTACTTACCAAGGACATTCATTAGACCCTGAAGACCTGATTCTTAAAGAACTCGTGTTCGCAAGTTTTGGAGGCAGTGTTTACCGTCTATTGTATCTTGTCGGAGTTTGTTTGCAGATGGGCTTTTTAGCTATAGGAAGTCTCCTGGGGTACACTGCTGTGAAGGTGCACACAGAGAGCTGCCAAGTGCAAGAGGTGCTCATCTTCGCACTGGCTTTTGGTTCCGGGTCTGAGCAGCGCTGTGGCACCCTCACTGCAGGATTGCTGCCTTTCACTTATCGTTCAGGCCGCAGGACAAACTCTCTTTCGGGTAGTTTTTTATTCTTTTTCCTGTAACTTGTGGTCTTTCGGGTTTCGTGCATCCAAAGAAAGCAAGGGGGTGTATGTGTGAATATGACTTAAACCTATTTGCATGCTTCTAAATACATGAAACGTGGTTGATGGCACAACAAGATTGAACTCACGGGGATTTTTTTTTTTGTGTGTTGTTCTGTGGCCACAGTTATGTAGCAGCTAGACCATCACTTCCCTTGCATGCCTACATGCTTTCCTGTAGTTTAATTGTAATATGAGTAAACTATAGCCCTGCCTAATAGCCACGTGGTCATCCTAGAGATGAGAGGAACTGGGGAAGGCTCAAGCTCACAAACACAGGCCTGGGCTGCAGAATGCAGTGCATTGGCTAAGGCACTGAAATCAGCTGGCAAGATTTCTGCTGACAGAGTCTTCAGGAAAATAACTTCATGCAAAATTCTGTCCTTTGGTCACACTTCTTTTTAAAAAAAAAAAAAAAATATCTTTGGCCCCAACTGTGCTTCTTTCTCACTCTTATTTTTTTTTCCATCCTCTTTCCAGTTATTCTTTTCCATTTCTTCTTTTTCCCCTGCTCTATCATTACTGACTTGTCATCATCTAAACTACATATTCCTTTTTTTTTTTTTCTTCCAGTCATTTTTATAACCTGAGCATGGAGTTGCCTCTTCTTCCCCCTGCTCTGCCTTAACATGTTTAAGCAGCACAGTAAATGATGCACAGCAGCATTTGCAGCAGATGCAGGGGCAGAAGAAGGATCTATTAATTGTTCAATCTCTGTTCTCACTTTCAGTTCTGTGTTGTATCTTTGTAGTAGCTGGACCATATAGTATTTGCCTTGCTAGCTTTTCTTTCTCTGCCATCTCAAGGTCAAAATAGGTAAACTGCAAGGTATGTCTTGTGATTATACAACTAATATTTGTAACCGCTGCTGCTTGCTGTACCTCCTACAGTTACACTATACTTGAAGCCAGATTTTATTATTCCTGGAGAGAACCTGCAAATTAGTGCAAGATCCTTGTGGGTGCAAACATGTGTTCACAAAAGCAGATCAGGTATGCACAACCGTAGTTACCTAACGTATTAGTGCGAAGGACCTAATTTTAATTTTTTTTAACAACCCCCTCCTCTAGCACTGTGGGTGTATGAGCTGATAATACCGATCATACTGTTTTTCACTCTGTTTTACTAAAATTGCATTAAAATCCATCAAGCATCTTGTGAAGTTTAATGGAAGATTCACAGCCATAGTGAGTCCCTGTAGCAAATGGTCCTTGCAGCAGAACCCATCCTCTTCCCCCAGTGCAGCCCTGCCCTGCTGGCTGCGAAGCACTGGATGTTGATTTTGGAGGTGTATCCTTTCCAGGACCAGTGCCTTTGGCTCGCTACTGCCCATGATGCTTCTGGCTGAGACACACTTGGTTATCTCACAGGATCCCATCAAGGAGGAAGACAGAAGATGGCTGCTCATATCCTCCTCCTTGCCCAGTCCCTCACGTGGTGTCTGTGGGCTGGGCTGAGTGCTGGAGGGCAGGGAAATGGCTTCCTCATTTACAGGGCCTTTGGGTTCTGGGTGAGGGTGGCCAGAGCTGCCACTAACGAAAAAGCCACAGTAGCTGTGTACTGTACACGGTGCTGTTCAGGTTCTGCACTGGTGTTGCACATAAGAGGTTTTGATGTCAGTTGGAATAGCAGTGGTTGATCCCTCTGTGTGTGCAGACTTGGTTGTTTGGCACCACTACTTCAATTTGCATTTTCTGTTGCTGGGTCTCTTTTCTGTATGCACTTGAGGGGATGCTCAGAGGAAGACAAATGGAAGCAGAGACATAACTCCAACAAAACCTCTTGTATATGATAGAATTCAGACTACAGTGATGGTAAAATGTTTGTCAGCAATTCAAAATTCCTTTTTCTCTGCTTTAAGTCTTCCTGGAATACCCTTCTCAGAACTTCAGTGTGTGTTCATTATAGTGAAACTCTGTAAGGACTCGTCCCTCTAATGGCAGTCCTGTTTGGTCCTGTGTGATTAAGGTTTGCATCTCAGAGCCATGAAACAGGAAATCCCCTAAATAAAAAGTAGGAAGGCAGGAAATCTTCTATCCTAAAGACAGATGAGGTTCTAGAAACTGTTTCAATAATTACAGACAGGTCAATCAGAATGGCACTCAGATGTACCTAGTTGCTAATGACAAATAGATACGTGTATATTCATGGATGTATTTTTTGTTACTGTTTCCAGCCAGACCATTATATCAGTAGGCTTTCACAGAGCAGTGTAAATAGCAAGTACATAGGTAATCATGACTTTTTGCAAGGCAGTTTTTAAGTCTTATCTAACCTGCCAGCTGTACAGAGGAATTCAGCTTTCATAGTGTAAAAAAAACAAGGATCCATGAGAGACTCAAGCTTCTTAAAAAGACACAGCTAACATTCATTTGCATCAATTTATACTAGTTCTACATCACAATATAAAAACCAAGGTATATCGCCCTGCCGATTGGGCTGAGATCTTCACGCTGCTCTCTGAGGGCAGTGAGTCATCTGCCCTCTGCCACTCCTGTGCGGACTTGTCCCCGCAGCGTGTGCAGGACTGCGGGAGGAAGCGACACCTCCCTGCCGTGATCCATCCTTTCTTGTCGGAAGCAGATGGAGCCCTAACGAGGGATACTGGGACCGACCTGTCAGGGCTCCTTCGGTGACAAAACCATTTCACTCCTGCCTGGTTGTGAGGAGCTCTGCTGCAGGAGGAGTTCAAGATCTTGCCATTTCTGTGGCCAGGTTTTTGAAAATAGCTTGTGAAACAACGATTTTAAAGAACAGCTTTTAAGAATTAGCTTAAAAGCATGCCCTGAAATCAGCTGCTGTCCCTGAGCTGGCACTGTGTGAGCTGAACCAGTGGCTTGGCTAGGTGACCGTGGTTTGGCTTGATCTCAATGGACAGTTACCTGCCTCGGTCAAACCATTTGTATTATTTTCTGCGAGGGGTGGGGGTGGGTGGGGGGTGGGAGTGTTGGGTTGTTGGGTTTTTTTCAGTCAAGAAAGAGGGAAGGGGCAGATCAGCCAGGGGTGAAAGTTGTCCTGCCTGCCTTCCACAAAATAGTAAGCTCCTGGCAAGCAGTGGGAGTATAATTAGAAGAGGGAGCTGATTAATGCCTTTGGGCAGGATGGACCAGGGATGTTGAGCATGGCAATGCTCACCAGTGCAGCATCTGAGTTGCAAGTGCTCTCCTGCTTGGAGGAATCGGCAAACCCTGTCCCAGGTCCCTGGGTGCAGGTTTGACAAAAGCTGGCGAGCCGAGATGGGTGGAGGTAAAAACCAGGCATTGCTGTTGGGAGAGGTGTGCTCTAGGGGCATGTCCTGCTTTTCTATGGAAGCTGCATGGAGTAGAAGTGCACAAGTGTTTAGCTCAATCACTGGGTGTTGGGTGGGACAGGGAGTGGTTCTCTCGTGTTCAGGGCTCCCTAGGTTGTATTGCAGTGAGCTGAGACTGCTGTGGAGATGGCCTGGATCAGCTAAGTGGGACAGCCCTGAATATTTCCAACGACAAGACCAGGATGGGGAATACATGAGACATAGTGACTTGCAAAACCTTTTAGTAGAATAAAACAAACCTTTTCTTCTTCCAAAATGAGCCTAATGTATGCATGGTTTATGGTGCTGATCAGGCAGAGACTGAAAGTGTTCCTGTACATGCAGAAGGCAGTGCAGTCCTGAGTTTTGGGTAGTGTTTGTGTATTCTTAAAAACTAAAATCTTGCCAGAAAAAAAAGGTTGCTGTAGTGCATCATCATGTGTATGAAGTAGATATTGATATATAAATTCAGGTTTTGATGAAAAAAATACATATTTTTGATGGAAGCATTATGACATCCAATATTAGCTGATAAAATTAAATAAAGTAGGTGCCTCTGAAGTTAAGTTCTAATGGATAGTCAGTTTTCTCATGATGAAAGAAGTGCAGATGAGCTTGCCAGGAGCACAGTTACATTCATTGGTACATTAATTTCACCCCCCAGGGTTACTTGGAGTTTAAAGTTTGTATAAGCTGAGGGAGTGCATAGATGGATGTCTTGAAATTTTCTGTCTGTGGTTCTTCATGGTACTAAATTGCAG